CTTTCTGATTCCAGGATATCCTCCTCTCGGTCCAGGAGATTCCACAGGGCCATTGGAGCATTTTCTCCAGTGATACATCAAATCTTGCCGATAAGTCTGTTTTTTCCAGTGCCATGTTTCTGATTTTGTTTATAAGATTCATATGAATGCTTCACCGTGTTTGAAGGCCTATCATCTAATTTCTTGACTTTTAAACATGAATTTTGCCAATTTGTGTGTTGCTCCATTCTTGTTATTGATTTCCAGCCGTGGTGTTTCGCTTTCCTTTTGTATCTTCGGTAATCCGTAGGCTGTTGGTGGTAGTGCATCCTTTCTTATTAATGAATTTCTTGTCCATGCGTTAATTTCTCCGTTTCTATGCATATATTTTGGCATGTCACTTAAGATCTTCATAGTTGTTCTCTTTAGTACACAATATGTAGTCCCGTCGCAGAATACATTCCTTCTCCCTATACTGTTTTTTTCCATTATCGCTGTTGCTCCTTTATCCGCATAAAGGACTAATTGCTCATTCATTTCCAGGATATTCCGTATACTGTCAAATCTGTTGCTGCGTGTTGGTTCTTGATATGCCAAGATTGAATAATTTCTATCTCCATTTACGATTTTTCTCCTCAGGGAACTTGTCGGAGATATTGATAACCTCCACCAGGATGTCTATTAGAAGGCTTTTGCCATTTTAACATTGTAAAAGTTAAATCCTCTCTTCAGGATCGGTCATGCTCTGTTGTTTTTGAAAGACTTTTGGAGTCAGGATCCTTGCCAGGTCACACAGGAGCTTTGACTTAGTATCTCTAAACTAAAAATGCGTATTCCTCTCCATATCCTAAGTTTCACTTAAATTCTGAATGAAGGTCTGCTGGAAAATTTCATCAACCTTATCTGTATGGTATGGTCTCTTAAGGTCACTTAAATCAGGAATGATACCAAGCGTTTACGACACTTTGAAAGGTCATATGGCAAGATTGACTTACATTTGTCTTTTTTTCCTGCTGTATTCACTGCATTGTCTGGCAATATTACCGTAGTTTAATCGAAGCTATGAAAATCAAAATGGTGTGACCCTCAGTATGGTCGCAGGATCCTTTCGATGGATATGAGTGGGTTGGCCTTTTTTTGCTACTTGGTCTTGTTGTCAGGGCGGCGCACTTTGTCCGAAGTCCTCTGCTATAGTAGTTATCATGATTATAAGCGTCAGACCATGCACTTGGTACATTCTCAGACGTTTTGCCGGCATCCTAGTCAGTATCATCAGTGAGTCTTTTCATTATTAGCACAAAAGAGACAAATTGAGTCAGTCCCTTGGCCAAGTTTCTGTCGACTAACTATGTAAATGTCCTTCACAAGTCACCTTCATGATTGGCAGCATGTCTGCACTTGATTACATACTCGCCATGTTGATTTGACATTTTTTTACGATATAGAACTTACCTGGCAATCTGATCGAACTGATGGTGGCTTCGAATGATGGCTGACATAGATTCTGATATTGACACATGTTTTGTTTGTTGATCACAATGTCTGCCTAAATCATCTCACGCTGCAACTGCTTTAAAAGATTATAATTATTCATTCAGTATAAGGTCTAAAGTTGATTTATTCACCAATTCTTTAGGTTTTTTTTATCACGTATTTAAGCGCATATCAGAGTTTCCATTCAAGTACATAATTAAGACAGGTTTGGTTGGATTAAATACTTCTTTATGTTAGAAAGATAATTTTAATTATTAAAAGTTATCTAGAGAGTGCGATAGCTAGATTCTATCGGGTAATCTTTACAATTTTACCTTGCCCATATGTCTGATTTCTTCTAGGTTTAGATAGTTTATCGAGTTACCAATAAATATTTTAGTAGTTGTTTGACTTTGTTTTCGCGACTTGATCATATTGACAGGAAGACCTTTACGAACGCACCTAGTTTGGAGTCCACATTATACATGATATTTTCCAGACTCGGACCGTGGACTTGGATCGAGTTTACTCGTCTCTTTGACGAGTTGTAATGGAGTGCTAAGAATGGCAAGGCTCACGGACGATGTCGACTATGATGGCGGTGAAACGTCTGGGAATGTACCAAGTCCACGATCCGAATCTGGAAAATATCATGTATACTATTGAACTAGGTGCGTTCCTCTAGGCCTTCCTGTCAATATGATCAAGTTGCGAAAACATGGTCATACAACTACTATACAACGAAAGGAAACCGCAACCATACAAAAGGCCACATTATCTTCGTCTTCATAATTTCGTATAAATATTTTAGTTAGTGTTTATTTGGCCGGAGAGACAGGGAGACCCTATGAAACGTACCCAGTCATGCGTCTTCTGCGATATTATTCTTGATAATTCCTACCGCACAGTTGTTTCTGTACCTTCCCTCACATTTCGCCAGCATCGTTCTTGACATCTTCAGTGATAGTCGCCATCAAGCTGACTTATAACTTATGTCTTTATTAGTTATAGCACCTCTCGGTGAAAATCCCGAATACAGTCCCTGTGTGACGTATGCAAATATATAAAATTAACGGTTATTTGCTGGAACAGTGGGAGAGGATGCACAACTAGATATACTCCATAGAGTCTTTCTGTCGCTGAAAGCGAGATCAAACCAACGTTATGCAACTGTAAGAGACTGCGACTAAACCTAAGACCACATAATCTTGGTCTTCACATCTACAATCTAACATTTTAGTTACTTTTATCTTTGTAACTCTTGACAATATTATTATTATTGCGCTTGGTTAGAAGCGTCATATTAACTTTTTTGGCTCTATTTGAGCAATGCACAACTTATCTCCTTGGCATGCTATGTTCGAAGCTTTATTTTGCAAAATATTCTTAATTTAATCTTGACTTTTTTCACATGTTTTCACAGCTTAAACCTTTTGCGAAATCCTATAAGTTTGTTTAATTGTACTTTACGTTTGCTTACTACATGATCCTTTAGTAATAGGAAAATAGGGTTGTATGTCAAAATCAGAAGTTTTCTTGATTGCTTCTCCATGTATAAATTGTTAGGACATTTATTATCATATATAGTGAAAATATTTTCAATCAAGCAGTTTATTAATCAAACATAGATACAACATTGCATATCAAGCCTTCTTCTGTTTGCTGCTATATCATTTGCCACCTAGCCTTATTTTGCTTTAGGGCCTATTCGCCCATAATGATTTGAAGAGAATATCTATTTTTATCACTTTTCATTTTTTTCCAAATAATGAAGATAATAATTCCATACGTTTATTAAATAACCAGGCCAACAACTGAATAACAAGTAACATATCAACGCAATAAAAAACAGTCCTCGTTGTCACTAACTGACAAATTCACCGTAATTATATCGTTTGCTGACAAGAGTTGCTATCATCGACTGGATCACTCTATTTACCTAATTTAAATTTAGAAGGCAATTATATGCCAACCAACCATATAATTATTTTACACCCTGGTTTTTTCTTAAGCTTCGAAAGTGATATATTTATGAATGTAAGCAAGTATCCAACACGACATTCATCCTCTTACTTTCTTAATCCATAGGAATGGTATCAATCGAATTAACACTTGGGTCAGATACTTACATTTTATAAATCAACTATCTTGCTGGGTGCCAAATATACGTTTATTTTCGCATTTGCTAATAGTTATTAAAATGTATACAACTTTTTTTCTTTATTTTCTTCAAACCTAGAGCCGGAAATATCTAGGCCCCAAGTAAAAGCCTCAAAATGTCAGCAATTTAGGAAGATCGTTTCGCCTAATCAGCTTTCGGATGCCCCTAGTTTAGAGGTGAAGCCAAACGGTCTGTTTGCCGAGCCGCATAAGCAGGATGATTCCAACATCAACAATAACAATGGAATCGCCAATGCGACTATCACCACCTATCCCAATGAAGATGACAATCATTCTGAGTCGATTGAACCCTCAGAACAGACCATATCGGTTGCTAAGCCTTTCGCCATCTCTCAGGTGAGTATCTGATTTGTCTGGAACCTTCGTTGTGTCAAACTTTACAATTTCCATGATAACCTTGCATTGCCTATACTAATGTTTATCTTTACTTGCAAGTTAGTTTTTGTTGTGATATTTTTGATTACTTTTGCTTCATCAGGCAATTTTCTCAACCTCGTAATCCTCGTACTTTACTTTCGAGGCATATATTTATATTTTCTACTAAAAAATACGGCTATATTTTGGCCTCCTAGTAAGCTCGACCTACAAATCTCCTCTTCCTACACTTTCATACGAAATGAAAGTCCCCCCAACAATGTTATCTCATGGGATTAATCAAAACCCAGTTATCATTCGTATCTACACTGTACGTACGGTTAGTCCTCTTTTCAATTGTCATCTGGCTACACTATAACCAAAAAAACGATATCCCGGCAAGTTAATAAAATTAGATTTTTAAAAATTTATATTTCTTATAGTGTTGTAAGGAATAGTATTGAACAGGAGATGATCCCTCAATTTGCCCATATAATTCCGTCAAATAAATCTTGTGTTCCTAGTCAGTTTCTGGATATTTATATGGTAATAATCTAATATTTAGGAAAACCGACAAAGGTAGGTCAGTGATAGTCATGGATAGGTCAGATTATATAGAAAAAATGCTAGTTCATTTAAATGACATTAACACGTATATGCCTTTAATAAGAGATCTAACGGAAAGACTTAAGACTAGACTAACTGATGTCCTTAATGTATGCGTAAGTAATGGTAATATGGAGATGCAAGGGCCCCCACGGCTTACAATCTTCATAAGTTCACAAGGAGGGTGCCCCTCTAAAATTAATTGCTAATAATAAAGGAAGCATGATGCATACAACTAAGAAAGGCTGCGATTTTTTGGCTATATTCATTTAATAATTCTTATGAGTTTGTGAAATTCATTGATCAGCAAATAACTTCACAAGAAGATAGGCTAATAAGTTTTGATGTTGTCTCTATGTACACAAACCTTTCTGTTCAAGGGGATATTCAAGCTCTTATATAAACTCTGGACGAGCATCTATAGATAACACGAGTAATAGGGCTTAGTGTACCATCCATAATTGGTTTTATTAACCTACCCGTGAGTAGCACCTATTTGACTTTTGATGGTAAAAACACGAACAATCACAAGGATTTGTGATGGGATCTTGCCTGGCTCCCATCTCGGCGAATTATTATATGGCAAGACTGGAGGAACACTTTTCGGAAGAGGCAATACTAACCCCCAAATTGTTGGTTAGATATATGGACGACTAGTTTGTCATCTGGCCTCATGGCAAGGAAAGTTTAGATAGTTTCCTACTTCATTTAGACAACGTGAAATTAACATTAGGTTCGCAATGGAAATAGAAGAGAATAAGTCCTTACCTTTTCTGGTTGTTCTCATTATTAGAGAAGAGGGTAAGTTATGAAAAGATGTTTATAGTAAGCCAACACATGTTGGCTCTGCTTAATTTTATTTCCAACCATTGTTACAAGAGTAGGGTTGGAATTTTGAAGTCAATAATTATTAGAAGTATGAGGTTAGCGGATAGCAAACATTTGACTAAAGGGTTGGAACGGCTGAGAAATGTATTCCTGGGCCTTATTGAAAATAATATCTCTTTATTGAGGAATGCAATTTTAGATTGAGACCATTTCATCATAAATAGGCAAGCTGAGATCTTTTCATCTTTCTTGGAAGCTAGGCGAATTAATGAGAGAATGTTTAAGGAAATCCTCCCAATTTATTCTGTCATGCCATCTTTTGGTTCTAACTTCACTTACACTCGTCTATCATGTTAGATTAAGCTCATCAACCAAACCAGACCTGCCAGATCACGCAGCCCCAGTCATGCCTTTCTTCGGGGGGTTAAACGTTAATGAGTGGGGGGAACTTTCATTTTGTTTGAAAGTGCATGAAACCCAGTTTCTTTTCGTATCTAAAACGTTAATGACCCTAGGTTGAAAGTTAGAACAAGTGGCTTCGTAAATTGACTTACATACATACAAGCTTACATTTCATTATCTCAGGCATAATTGCTTACGGACTTACGCAGTCTTGGTCAGGGGTTTCTCTTGAGTCATTAACCTTTGATGAATAGAGCGTGGCGTTAGTCTTTTGAACACTGATTTAGGACTGGTATTCTGTATTGACGTAAATACGCATGTACACACACAGAGAATCAAACAAATTTAGCAG